TATGCTGACTCTCTGTAAACCGCTTAGAGAGGCCTGAAAGGCCTATGAAGCGGTATATAAGTCTACTGCTATTGCTATTGCTATTGCTATTGAAGCTTTGAAGGCTTGAGGATATAACAATGGAGTCAGGTAGAGCATTCCTGGCGTTGACCACTCTGTTGCTGAAGTTGTATTTTGTGAAATTGAGTCTGCAGTGGTTTACCTTGAGTTTGTATCTATTGTTTGCCCCTGTATTATTGAGGTTGAAGTTGAAGTAGTTGTTGAGAGGTAGGACGTTGTAGCAGACAATTTTGTGTACTATGCTTAGGTCAGACCGTAGGCGGTTTAATTCCAGGTTGTTCAAGCCCAAAATTTTGAGTCTGGTGGCATAAGGGATTCTATTGTGAACAGAGGAGTGGAGTACTCTTCTCGTGAAATACCTCTGGACCCACTCAATTGTATTTATGTATGGATTCCAGGCAGACAAGCTGTATTCAAGAATTGGTCTGGCAAAGGTTTTGTATGCCCTAGTTTGCAGTACAATGTTACCAGAGAAGTGTCGCAAAATTAGGTTAACAACTCTTAATGTCTTTTTGGCAATGCTGTAACAGTGAACCTGTCTAGAACCTTAGTACACATTAATGTTTTTCCTGGATCCCCGGAGGTTAATAGGTTACTATGATTTTCTCTGTCTCTAGTGGAGGAATGAGTTGAATTCTACATCAAAAGTATTTCTCCTTTTAGCAGATGCATCTTTTTCAATTCTCCCATGAAAGTTTGGTTATGCTATTAAATACTTATTGCAGCTTCAAAGAAGGCTCCGACAAGAGTCAAGATCAGTTGATTCTTGGCAGTACTTCTGAGTCATGTCCATTTATTGAAGGAAGAATGATAGAACCATCCCCCCCCCCCCGAAATTGAAGTAACAATTCTTTCTGCAGAGAAATTCCTTGTCACAGAACAATTATTCTACAGGATTCTAATGAACCATAATCAACCCAAAATACTTTAAACAAATCAAATATATCAAATATGAACTTTTTCTAGTACTCAGGCTTCCCTATAAAGGTGTTTTCACTAAAAGTTCTCAAATAAAAATAACAGCAACAATAACAACATCAACAACTATTAGTAGGAAATTCAACATAGGTGTCTTTTCAAACAGTTTGGCCATGCCTATATTTGGAGTTTTAAAAATCAAGTCACTTTCTCTCTGCACATTTTTCTATGTTGCTTTCATTGATGAAACTACAGTTTCCAATAGGGTAAAAATGGTTTGCGTAAGAATGTCATACCTTAAACACTACTTCAGGGTCCTATCTCTCTCTCTGGAGAAGAATCAAGCAGTTTACTGCATACACTGACTCATGTCTAAGAGAACAGTGACATTATGTTCTATTGGAAAAGACCTTAGGGTTTCAAATGACTTAGTTACTTTCCTACTCTCCCTTTTTTTGTAATTCTCTCATTGCTATTTCAAAAGAACAGTCACATGTTTCTCTGACTTCCCAAGTGAAGGAATCCAATTCTTCAAACTATGCCAGTGAATTCCTTCAGGGCCCTCAGAACAGCTGCTATGACTGTAGTCAAGTAGTCAGGGCCATGTTGATGAAGGACAAAAGCTACTGCCATTAGGCTAATTTTCTTATCCTCATATCTCCTTCATCAGTTTTTTTTCTCTCAGGATATGTGATGTGACATCTTGCATAAATCAAGAAGAAAATGCCCCTTGTGGCAGAAAGTGAGGGCACTCAACTTCAACCTTTTTGTTCTCTAGAGTATCATTTTTACCATGACTACTTAAATTGCATCGTTAAGTAAGATGTGTCCTTGAAAATTGTTTAAACAGTTTGATATTTCTGGTTGAAAAATAATTTCCTTTATAGTTACAACTTCAACAGAAAAGTATCTGAAATCAGCTCTTAACAGAACACGACAGTTAGTAGACTAGACTTTTCTTTCATTTTAAGTTATCCAAAAGAATTTATTAATCATGGGTCACCAGCAGTGACGTGCAGTCACTAGAGGCAGGGGAGGCGAGGCCTCACCAGTCTCCTGAGGAAAAGGAAACTATTTTTAAAATAATTAAAAAGGCCAAGGTAGTTGCTGCTAGAGTCACCACGTGGATGACTCTGCTT